TTTAATTCCTCCATGCACATAAAAAGTACCCCCCAGAAGAAACTATTTTAAGCAGTATGCATGCTCCCACTGTGAGCCTATCTTTTAAATTAGGCCTATGTCTTATCTAGGCCGTTAGACAAGTCTAGAAACAAATATCTATACTCTACGTTGAAGAGTTCGTTTTACTTAAAAAGTTGACTCCAAATTTATCACTTTTTAACATGTTTCTCTTCCCAGGAAGACGACTATGACCGAACGATCGGCGTAGATTCGCATTACATACGAGGAACTGATTTCTCGATCGAGACACCTGACCGAGATTTCTTATTTGAAGTGAGTTACCGGTATTTTTTATTAACTATTTAATGATTTTTGTTGTTGCTGTCGTTGTTGTTTTTGTCGTCGTTGCTGTCGCTTTTGTTGCTGTAATTGTTAACATTATCATTAATACCATTCCTTTATTAATATAATTAAATTATTATATTGGCAAAGCTACTAAGCTAAAGTATATAATGATCTTTATCAGAATTACATTTTGATATTTCTCATTATCACTATTTTAATTTACAAGTTCATTTAATATGAGAATTTACTTAAAACAAGACGTGTAGGGCCTATACCTAATAACTATGACGTGACCATGTAGAATTATGACGTGGATATACTATTGTATAAAACACTACAAGAGTACTGTGGTAAATATTAAAATTGATGTTATTTGTGTTTTACAGCAAGGGTACAGAGCCACAATTGCCTATCTCTCTGAATATGTCCGAAAAAACAATCCACCAAAGAGGCCAGAATTTAGAGACGAGGTCTTCGAAAGCGATACAGAAGACGCCCCTAACGACAAACGTACTAGCCGACTAAAATCGGACTTGAGTGTGCAGATAAATCTGGGTGCGATTATCATCGAAGAGGAAGAATCAACTCAGTTTTAAGAAAAGAACAAAACCAGAAGTGAAAAAACCTCCTTGATTTGTAGCTAAAATTTGACTGCAGCATTGTATAACATGACGAGGACACCTACTGCGCATGACATGGTTTACATCACCAGTTTCGAGGAAGGGAACTCTTTTCAGAGTTGGGCTGATAATTTCGGATGCTTACTGGTCTGTAACCAACTTTCTTTTATGCATAGAACTTATAAAGTGACAACTCGAAATCGAAAGTAGAGGGCGTCCATAACGACAAATGTACTAGCTAGCCGACTAAAATCGGACTTGAGTCCGACGATAAACGAAACGTTAACGACTTAAACTAAACAAAATGAAAGTGTATAATATACAAACACGAATATTTATAAATAGTTGTTGTTACCATCATCTCATAAATATGAAATCAAATTTTATAGATAGTATCGAATGACTATTAATATTTGTTATGATATTGCTGTGATATTTTAAGTAATAATGTTATTGTTGTTAAGTATTATTATTTTATTGGGTTATATTCAATGATACAAATAGAACATTTTACTTTCACGAAGTGTAGTTAATTCACTATTAGCATTCTAAAATACTAGTTGTAGTACTTTTATACTCTTCGATCGTGACAGGTGTTGACGTCACTTTATTAATACTGAAGGTGACTTATTCATCAGTTACCATCCCTTCCTTCTTCACTTAACACTACCACATACCATATAAGATGCTGTAGTCATAAATATGATATTATGTGTGTTACATGTCAGAAAATAAACCAACAACAATTCAAAGGTCTACTGGGTCCAAAGATATTTTCAATGATTGTTATTATCATTGTGTTATTGTATAATAAATTATTTTATATTTTTTTTAATTACGCGTAAAAACTATAACATAATCATAAATTTGCTATTGTTTATCCAAAAAATGTAATATTTCTCATTATTTATCTTGTATCCATTTCTCTTTATTCGTGCATCCATTCCCCTACTGAAGTAATTATTCCCACTATTTGATGAAGTATCCATCCCCTCCACTTAAATACCTATTCCCTTTACTTACCTATTCCTTCTATGGAAGCATCTTTATCCATTCCATTTAGAGAAGTATCCACTCCATTTACTGTCGTATAAATTGCATCCTGTTGCCGTACCGTATAACCAATCCTTCTGTTGCTGTCTATTTTTCCCTTTATTGACGTAGTAAATATTATTGAAATCTTCATTCCATTACCATATGCATTCCATACGTATAACCACTCCCCCTAAAGTCTCGTAAAGTTGAATTTTTCAGAAATTATCCATTCTCTCTATTGTTTTAAATATCTATTTCTATATCTATATCTAATATAAAATTCGTATTTTCCGTAGAAAACTAATTAACAAGCTTGCAGATGTACTAGTCAAACCACACACGACCTATAGGACAATTAACGACGTGTAATTGACGATTTAAACAAATACGACTAATCCTTATTGGGGCACGGGTGTTGTGTTATTGAAAAGAAGATGATTAATTATGCAATTATGTCAGTCAGCATTAGTTCTACCAATCTCATTTTCCTTCTAACTTCTTTCTTAAGCATCACTTGATGCGGTTTTCAAAATCCAGTTCTTAGCTCATTAAACTCTACTTTCCGTGGTCGATCGAAAGATTTTTTTAAAGAAGTGTTTTCCATAGGCCTACCAAACTTCGAAACGTAATGAGTGTGTATTTATAAACTATTTTTATACTTTTTGTACGAGTTTAATACATTATAAAATAGGCATTGAATTTAGGCTAAGTGGCAGTAACATAGTATTTGCAAACTATTTTTCTGTAAATAAAAACAAAATGAAGAATCAATGAGATAAGGATGTGTGCTGGCTTTTGTATATAGGCGGCCTTCCGAGTTTTGATTAACGAATGACATAATGAGATCCAACACATTTTTGTAATAAAACGGTTTATCGCATTTTACAATTCCGGAGTTGCATCGATGTGTTTCTTTTGTTTATTTGTTTTCCACCCATGAAATTAATTATAAATTATCATAAATATACAGATGGAATTAAAATATTTAACTCTACAGAATAATATTACAGAAATAAATTCAACTAGGCCTATATAATAGCTTATAGGTGTTTAATCATGGTGTGTGTGTGGCCCTAAAATCCCGTATATCGACATGAAAACATGTATCCAACTTTGCATTTCGCTTGTGTCCTTGAGCATGGCACTTCATCTGCATTGCTTCTCTCTACCCAGGAGTATAAATGGGTACCAGGTGGGGTTGCCTGCTCCTGCGCTGATTACCAGCAGTATGTGGACCCAATGACCAGGGAAACATTATAAATACCCATACAAGTACCAGAACCAGATTGTACCAGAACCAGATGTATGCTTCTCCGTTTGCTAGGTTTTCTGAATAATTTATTTAAATAAATTGAATAATAAGTAAATTTAAGACACTATATATTTTTATAGGACAGATAAACTGTCAATAATCATAATGTGCAATACAGTACTGTATTTATATTTATAATAATAGGGCCCGGTGCTAAATTTAAAATGTTATTTTAAATGGTAACTATAACAGATAGATGAAGCATGTGTGGATGTGTTAATTCGCATTTAGCTCGAATAAGTAAATTTAAGACACTATAATTATATTTTTTTTATAGAACAGATAAACTGTCAATAATGATAATGTGCAATACAATAGAATACTGTATTTATATTTATAATAACAGGTCCCGGTGCTAAATCGAAATTGTTATTTTAAATGGTAACTATAACAGATAGATAAAGCATGCGTGGATGTGTTAATTCGCATTTAGCTCATATGTTTTTAAGAATTATTCTGAAGTCTGTATAGCCGTAAAGCATGTCGAGACTCAAATTTTATTTGACAAAAACATGTGACATACCCAAATATGGTAATGATGACATCAATTATGACCATATATATAGGCACATCATGACAATGGGCATACAGCAGTTCTAGTCTAGACAGCTTAATGTCTACATTGCTGGAGAATGTTTCTGAACCAAACAACCGTTCTTTTCATAATCTGCAGTACGTGGTGTATACGCAAAAGTCATAAAAAAGGATTGTGTATTATTACAAAGTATACAAGAAGATGTCCTGAACAACAATAAATAAACGCAATTTTAACAGTTTTATTACCAATATGATAAAAGTATTTTACTTTAACAGTACTAGACCAGATTATAGCAATATGCCTAATAGATTCACGTTGCCGTATAATTACCGTGGCCTAATTTTTAACACTAAACCTCGCACAGATGTGGTCAACTTCGATTTCTTCTCATCTATTTTCTGTTACCCAAGAGTATGGAGAATGCATTCTATTTAAATATTTTTAACGAAAATATGCACATGTCAGGACGGAAAATTAAAAAATACGTATGGTCATTGTATATTTTTATCTGACAAATTGTTTATAATATCAATGTTACACTAGGCCTACCTCAGATAGTTGCCCTCCGCTTCATTACCAATGAAGACTATGGAATCCACTCCACCCCTGGAGCTGATCAGTACTTGAATATGTTCCATAGATATGGAACGCATAGAGACCACGTTAGTATGATCGGTTATGACATATACCGTACTGTATTACAATTTAAACAGACATTGAAGGATTAATTAAACATGAGCCAGCTAAAAATATACATTGCCATAAACATATTGATTAATGTAAAACCGTATTGTTTGCAATATATATCATACTATCTACATTTCAATGACGTGTACGTGGTTCGTGATTATGATTTGTTTACAATCCAATAGACTTGATATTACGTATTGTATTATTTAACTCAATTTACAGATGAATTCAGTCCATATGCTATGGGATTACGTAAATTGACATTAAATGACGTTGTTTATAGGCCTAAGTAATAATACAAATTTGCCTTGACGACAAGCCGAATTTGAAGTTTAATCGAGTGTAAACCGAACTTCTGTTGAACAGGGTAAAGTTGAAACTTCTGTTGTCTGCAGACTGTTTTCTAAAAGTAAATTTGCGTCATGTTTTTGGTAAAATATATCACAAAAAATTATTATAACGACACATTTTAACAAATTACATATTGTCAGATGAGTGTGTGTGTGTGTGTTGAATACATTGACGTATATGGGTAGTGGAAATCGTAAGCTAGTGGAAACGATTAGATAACGAATACAGCGTTTCGTAATATCTTCTTTTTGTTTATTCTGTCAAAAACAATTAGGCCTGCCAATAACAAGTACGGTAGGCCACCCTGCAAATATATTATTTCGTCGGGCACACACGGTGCTGTGCCACTGACGGTTGTCGTCTAAAGCCGGGCACTTAGGCTACTGCGCTCGACGGTCGTCAGCCGACGCGAATCTATGAAGAACGGATTGTTTTTAATGACGATCCGTCCATGGATGCCACCGACAATCAGCAGACGGCGTCGCGTCGTCTAGTGTTCACAGGGAGCAGAGTTGGAATCGTCGTGCGACGTTCGTACGACGCCTTGAGTGCCTGGCTTAACACGATTCCTCGGAGTACGCAGCGCAAGGAGGCGCCCGCTTGAATCATTTTAATCCCCCCTAGTCTGCCGTTGAGGATCAGCAGACGGCGTCACGTCGTCAGTCGTTCGCATAGAACCGAATTAGATTTGTCGGCCGACGGTCGAATGACCGTCGTACGACGCATTGTGTGGCCGGGTTTAAAGCAAACATTACATTTTCACCATATTACGTTTACTTGACCCTTATTGAATTTGGAACTTGTATACTTGCTGTGTTCTATGTGATTATTTTTTATAATAGCAATACTATTATATTGATATGATGATGATGATGATGATAATAATAATAATTATGATAACTATGATAGGGGCGGATCCAGAGATGTCCGAAAGCGGGGGGTGGGGGAGAAAGAAGGACCGAAAGTGGGGTCGATCGAGATAACACCGCCATAGGGGGTCCGGGCTATTTTTTTTGTTTTTCTAGATGCCCAAAAATAACCTCTTGGGGCGTTTTAAGCGATCATTTTTTTTTTCTTTTTCTTCCTTTTTTTTTTTTTTTAACTTTCCAAAATCCCCCCACACTAAATCCTCCCTTGGATGATTGTTGCGATGATGACGGTGTTAACGATGATTGGTGATGGTGAAGGTGGTGATGATGATGGTTATGATGAGGAGGAGGAGGATGTAACAATGATGATGACGACGACGATGCTGATGACGATGATGATGATAACGATAACGATAATGATTTTCTCAAATTGATACGTCAAAAACATTGAAGTATATGCATTTTATTACCATTCACTTACAATCACTCATTTGGTGAGACCATATCATAATAAATTTTATTATAATATTTACCAATTCATTTGAGTACAAAATTAATGATTCACGCGCATATGCCCAATATTAGTTTTACATCTTCACGCGTAAAATAATTTTTTGTCTCAATTTTGTGCGTGTGTTAAAATAAGTATGCATCAAGCAATCATAAGAATCCAATGACAGTCAGTTATGACGTAAATTCGTAGGGTTTCTACATTTATGAAAGCTTTCCTTGCATACGTAATTCATAATTTACTTTTATGACGTAATTACTTGCAAATTACAATATAGTACAGAAATTGTTTCGCCAACACTTATACCGTACCTCATAGAATGTATTGGTCATTTACTTATCTAAGAAAAACAGACGCTATTATTATGATTATTATTATTATTATTATTATTATTATTATTATTATTATTATTTTATTGTACTTTTTTCACTTAGGCCTATTTTATTTTATTATCTATTATTCCATCAACAGCGATTGCAAATTACTGGTAAAAAAAATATATATACATAGTGTAAAATAAAAAGGTTGAATATACGAGGACATCACTTTTATTTTAAAAATAACAGCCCAACCCAAACAATGAAATTAAATTACAGAGGACAAAATTAACAATTGATTATTTTTTAATAAATTGACCCATAACGGTATAACCTCACCATAAAAGAAAAGAAATGAAAATTGTAATGAAAAATAAATTTCCAATTTTAAAGAAACACATATATGTAAACAGCTTTCAATAAATCAGAGATAGATCAATTTCTAGTTTTGTATGGAAGTTACTACTAAAATTGTGCTGCCGGAAAGGTAAGAGAAAAGGCAAAGACATTAGTAATAGTTTTAGTGAGGATGTTTCAATATAGAATACCAATTCTCCTAATTTGAATAATGTAACTATACATGGTGTATGCAAGGAGCGGTCGGGAAGGTCGTACGGCCCCTCCATCCCCCCCCCTCCAAATGTACAAATGTTCACATTTTTTTCAAAGACATTTTTATAGGGCCTTTTGGCAATGACATAAATGAAAAAGCATTGATGAGGTATCAGCAATGAGTCTAAAGACCTTGCCAATTGCGTGACGTAAAAGTTGTTAACCATGTACTCAATAAATTAAATGAACCTAAATGTATACATAGGCCTACTGATGATAGCTTGATTAAGATCTGGGTTAGATTGCCTTATCTAGAAAAGACAGGTGAATCCGTTTTACGTAGATGCTTAAACAAAGTAAAGAAACACAGGTAAAATTCATAACATAATCTCAATTCCAGAAATTCTGAAACTGAGCCTGCCATCCGCTTCAAGCAAATTGTATGGACATTTTAATCACATCTTGCTGTTTATTTCATTGTGAAAAGGTAAAAAAAAAATTATGATCACGACCCAGCCAGAAAAAATTCCTGGATACACCCCTGCTATAATAAGCCAACTTTTACATAGCACTTTCCTAATAAACTAATTCCTCCATGGTGTTTACGGTGTCGTTTTTTAAGACTTGGCAACAATATCTAAGGGGCGGGGCTTAGCGGTAAAAGACCCATTAGTTCAAAGCCCATGGAACGAAGGCTTTTACATGAAGACGAATTAGACGTTTGCCTCTTATCATTACTCTATCAACCTAAACACTGGTAAATAAATAAATCATATTTATCTATAGGCATTTACAGCCAGATATATTTACAACTTAAATATAGCCATATGCATGTACATTATATACAACTTATGGGGCGTTTTTACATTGAAAGTATTTCCAATAGATATTAGACTATGAAATAATTGTATTTTTACAGTTTGTCTTTAACTCGTCAAAGAGGATTTCAACGTCTGAGATAGAGTATTAGAGTTTCAAAATACATTGACTAATAAACTGCTAAGAAATACAAGGTAGGTTTAAGGGCGTACAAGAAAATTAGGCACTACCGGTCAAGACTCTAGCACGTCGTGACCACATGATACATCGCCTGCTACAAAAGCCTATGAAGTTTTGTGGCGTCTTCATGTTAATAAGAAAGCGCTGAATTCTTGCTCTACGGTGAAATATCTGACTTGAATTCAGAAGCATTCATATCCGCTCGAGTAATTGACGCCGTCCTGCTCGTGATTTTTTGCGTGGAGAATCGTGTACATCGTGTCGTCTGCGTTTGACTTTCCTTGTCCATCTGCAACCTCTCTCGCCAGAGCTTCAGCACGTGACGGTTGCAAGTGAATGCAATGAAAATGAAGAACCCCTGCAAACCATTCAGGAGAATGAATATGTACCACAGAGCTGCCACATTCGCGTACGAGGCGACGAAAGCAAATCCCCATGTGAACCCCATCAGACACGATATCTGAACAAAGAAAACAACAAATCGGTCAGACAATAATAATTAATGAATTAATTTAAACTTTTCAGTTCTAGCCAATGTGACTGATCTCTCTGTGAAATTCGGATCCTTGAAAAAAAATCAAAATTGTGAATAGTATATTTAATGGACCGAGTGTATTTCATAAAGAACTTAAACGATCCTACCATAAGGAATTATACATTACATACCTTTATATATAGTAGAACGTCATCGAATTTCCTTGATTTCTTCATCTTGACTCCCAGTGCGAAGTTCGATATTTTCCTTGCTTGCATGATCTTGTAAGAAGTAAACATAAACTGTCCAAAATTCAAGATCAGACAAACTGCGAGTGGCAGAGCAAATGAGTAGAATAACTGCCGTTTATCTTGTATCCAACACAACACGCTACCTCCGTATCTAAAATGTCTTGGAGACGTAACATGGAGACCAACACATGGCAGCACTATCAGAAGAGGTAGCCCCCACCCATATAGCATATAGATTACTAGCAGTTTAATGCTTCTAGATTGGTGGACTCGATTCGTGTCAAAGACGAACACGCGTGCTAGATCAAAGGCTAAGACGTTGGTCCAAGTGAAGATTGACAGCCAGAAATAGTGCATGACGGCAGCAATCACCGCGCACAGTGTTGGCGAGTTTGTTTTGTCGACAAATACTATGAACATAAATTGAGCACAAAATAAAGCAGTTATCAAACACATTCTGCAGATCCCAGGTAGGTTCCGCAACGATGGTAATATGCAAGAGTTTATGAAAGAAAGAAGTAGACAGACGAGAGAGATTGACAATAGTATGTTGCTAATGTACGATAATAAAACATCAGAAGTCGAGGAAACTGGTGGCTTCTGACCAGATGGTTTCAAAATTTTACACGTGACGTGGCTGACATTTTCATGCTCCGTCGTCCTTTTATCTATATTATGAGTGGTTCTATTTGACTTTATTTCTTCTGTTGGTTCAACCTCACAACTTTGGAGACAAATAAACTTTTCATTTCCGTATGAACTTGGCAATGCGTTTGTTGGCATTGAGTCGCTGGATGTTTCTTGTCCAGATGAATCAGACAATGACGAGTAGAAACTTTCACTTAAATAGTTATTTAAATTTATAAAGACTTCAGTTGAATCGGCTCCGTCATTGCCTGCAGGAAGTGTGATAAACGTCCCATTTTCTTGCATCATTTCTTTTGTGATTTTCAACATAGTTCCGTTCTCACATCGGACGCATTTGTCGAGTATTTGATCATAGAATGTGCCATTTGAACACACCGTTACTGGTTGTGGATAGAAAGCGACTGCACTGCCGGAAAACGCAAATAGCTCACTCAAAGGCCTAGTTGCTTCCATCATAGGCTTCTCCCAGGGGTCGTACGACTCATTCAGCGGGCATGTCATATTCCAAAAAGGGTAAACCCAGTTGCACATGGCACAGTGGGGATTTTTATATATTATGCCGTTAATATTAAAGACGGCTGAATAACCTTTGCATGAATATCGCAAATCATCACGCGTCTGCACAGGACAATCGTCGACTATATCCAAATCACAAGACCGGATAAATGGCAGACCACGTACGTCACGTGGTTCTGCATGGTTGATTGTGTACTTGATTTGATCAACAAGCTGGTTCTCCATATTAAAGTCAAACAAAGAGAAGTCAGACTGCGACTCCAGTATTGATGCATCATTACAAAGAGCACAGTGTTCGTTTCGGAAGAAGGTTTTCTTAGCTGTGACGTACACAACTGGATGAGAGGTGTTTAAACCAAAAGCACATTGCTTTTCCAGACGGGTTCCCTTCCACCAGGGATGGCAGCTGGATATCATTAGAAGACCAGGAAACTCTGGCATATTCCAGGCATCTGGATTAGACTCACAACTGTACAAGGGTCTAACATTTAGCTCGTTAGAAATTGTCTCCAGCTCTTGGCTTAGAAGTACTGGAAGAGAGTCGTTCCCGTGTTGGTAGTCATTATTGCATCTGAGATGAAAGTCTAAGCAACAGTCACCATATCTTACGCACATGTCGTCACAGTTGCACTGGTGGGAATTGTCTTGCCTTTTTCCACACTGGTTTGCACAAGAGTGGACGCCGCCATTTTGCCCGATGCAGAGGCCAACTTCTTCATCGCCGTATGACACCTTTAAGACTATAGATTTAAAACTACTATCAGAGTTATTATCGTTTATAAATAGCTATATGTTTTTAAATTTTACGTTTTGCAAATTTCAGAGCTAATTTTACATAATGTAATTGAAATATGTTTTTCATAGGCTTGTGCATAGAATAATTGATAAGTACTATATATTATTTGTGTTTGCGTATTTCTTATAGACAATTAATGAATGAATGAAATATAATTAATACATCCATTTCTTTTATTTGCAAACGAAATGGGAAGATTCTGGATTTAGTCAGAATTTCAGTAAATTGCAGATTCAACGTGGTGAATGTTTAGCGTTTTACTCGTTCAGATTACTAACCCTAGAAATAATACATATATTTTATAATACAACGATTTGTTTGAACATGCAACCAAATACTATTGTTACAATTCCAGTTTCTATACAAATTCACTTGCATTAAGGAAGTATAATATCTTACCTTGCATTGACAGAGGCAAGACAACCGTCAGTAGAAAGAACTCCAGATTACTCATTCTCGTGGCACAGAGTTTATTGCAAGTTCTTGAAATATAGGTACTGTAAAATTTTAGCCTTGGTTAATTGAGCAATCGAATATCAGATCGTTTTCATATACAGTAGTAATTCTACCACATATTTTCTAATATCCAAATTTCAACAATAACACATCAACCAACAGCAACACAAAATTTCAAAAACAAGATGTAGGCCTACTTTGAAATCTTTGCAGTGAATGCGTAATCGAGAAGTTATACATCGATATGATGCCCGGGGCCCAGCTTCGTAGAGAACTCCGAACCTCCTCTCCTCTCTGAACGCCTGCAACACTATTAAATTCGCTGACAAACTGACGCTTTTTAGAGAACATTTTCAAAAGTAGTTACGGCGTTGATGCAATGGTTATATAATTACTTACGAAATGTGTGGAGTGTTCCATTTTTATTGCAGGGCAATAAATTCCTCACTAAATTTCAATAGATTTGATGATCAAATCTACGGAAAATTAAAAATCCAAACGGCTGACGTCGAAGTTGTTAGGAGTCAGTGATATCTCATATTTTCTGCTCCCATTCTTGGCAGTATTAAATGTAAAATAATCCAGTATTTCATATATTCTCAATGATCAAAATGTTATTAATATCTATCAAATTGCCAAGCTGGATTAGAACGATGGAATTCTTCTAATCTAGCTAGTTTTGATAGTGGCTCGGAATGGAGTTGTGGATGCAATTGTAGATTTTGTGGGATCAGTTTTATCCTGGAGGAGTTAGTTTTGACATTTAACACCAACGCGGATTAATACTAACTCAATGCATTAAGTAGTAGTAGACAGGTGATTCAGTGGTTTTCATATTATAGGATTCGATCCGAACCAGGAAGACGTTCAGGTACACCCACTGCACCTGTCCATCATAATTAACGGGCAGAGAGGTCCAGACGACCTACTATTGTATGCATTTCAATTAAATATTTATCAAAATCATTATTATGATTATCAAATGTATTGCCATGATTATTATAATCATTATCATCATCTTTATTATCATTATCATTTTCATTAGTGCTATTATTATTATTATTATTATTATTGTTATTATTATTATTATTATTATTATTATTATTATTATTATTATTATTATTATTATTATAAGTTACCAGTCAATGTTATTATTGGTATCGCCATCAACATTGGTACTATCTTTCATTATGTTATTTTCAATATATAAATCTTATTGGAAACCAATATTGCATAGAACAACGTGATAATAATTACGCAAGCATGCAAACACGGACTGCATATAGGTCTAGTTTAAAAAAGTGCGGTAAGAAAAAAAAACAGTACCGTTGTATTTTCTTAAGGTAAAGGCCCTACCAATTGTGTTAACCTATTATAAGTCAGTAAAAGTAGAACCCCTCCTTTGGGACACCCCTATTTAGGGAACACCCCTATTAAGGGGACACTTTTCCGTGAAACAAGGGGCGATATATCTTTTAACACTGCGGCCAACTTCATTAAGGGACACCCCTAAGAAGGGGAAGGGGACACTTTCTAAGTGTGCCAAATGGTCAAATAACTCCTATTAAGGGGACACTTATTTTTTTTATATTGTATACAACAGTCTGAAAATAAGAAAAATTCACTAAACTTTATATATTGATACATTTTGACGTATTTTGAGCAACTTATTAAGGAACTTTGATCATCTTTCTACTGATGTTAGTCAAGGGCGAGCTTTTTTTAAGACTACGTAATAATAATAATAATAATAATAATAATAATAATAATAATAATAATAATAATTAATAATAATTAATAATAATAATAATAATAATAATAATAATAATAATAATAATAATAATAATAATAATAATAATAATAATAGGGGTTCTACTGTAGCATAAGTACTGTTATTATTAAAGATAATCTGCTATTTAACTATAATATTAATACGCTGAATTAAGGCTAAACATAACCTTTTTGTTGCACAAGTCCGACAAACTCAAAATCTCGAAAATTTAAGGTCGGTTTTAAAAAAAAATGTTATATATTTTTACCAAGAAGGAGCCTAAAACACTTGTATGATGCTCTAAATCTAAAATACCATTTTCAAGTTTGATTACTAATTTAATAACTGAACTATGGATTCTAACCCTGTGGTTACCATTTTACCAACCAAAATACATGTAGTGAGTAATGGTAAGCAATGAACCCTAGAATTAGGCCGAGGCCTAGTAAATATTGAAAATTACTAGCGACTGATTTAAAAAAATGTCACCGTCTTTAGGTAGCACAATACATGTTGTTTGACATGAACCTAGAAAACATGAATTGTATTTCAATACCGGCTATCATTTTCCAACTGAAAAGAGAGAAACGACCCTGTCAGTTAACGCACATTTGGAAAAATATACAATTCCTGTAGTTCCCGTATTTTGCTCTTTTTTAACAGAAAATTTAAGGATTTACATAGGCCTATAGGGAAATGTCTGAAGTTAATTAAAAACTGATTATATTTGTTTTTTAATTGTGGCTTAATGGAAAATGAAAAATTGTTGTTTGTTTAATATCAGTCATTCAAAGTTTTGTATTTTAATTTTGAGGGATTTTAGTTGTCATAATGTTTGAGTGTCCGAGAATTATATTTAAAGAAAAAAATAATTAAGTTGAGAACGTGGGCCTTTAACCGAATGAATCGGTCGAGACTCTTACGTAAATGCGACCTAAATCCGTTGTACTGGATTAACTAATGAATAGTTGATAACTCTCAACTAGGTTAAAGTTGTCATGTATAATGTATTGCGTTTGGTGACCTATTTTTCTTGTATATGTTGACCTATCTGTGTTATAAAAATACTTTACCCAAATTATCTGTGGTAAATCTAGAAACTGTCAACACTTCAATTGAACTTGAAACAACATAAAATATATAGTTCGTCTCAGATTAAACATTTAATTGTTTATTTAAAATGATCAAATAAGTTCTAATTAGGCACTGACCAATCAGAACGTGTTATTTAATAATAACCAGGAATACCCATAACTACCGAAGTTTTTTACGTACGGTCATTTTGTTTAAAGTATACACACATTTACAACAATACGCAAGCTGTGGGGTTTAGCTGAAAATTTTCATTCTTTAAATTAAAAAAAGATAATAATTTCCACTATATATAGTTACAATAGGTACTTATTGATACAATTCGGTTTACTTTGATTTCCGACCTTTCCGACTGTGAATTTATTTTATGAATTACACAAAAATGTAAGGATCTATGAAAAAATAGAAAATAGTAATGTGTACGCATTCATTAGCTCAACAGACAGTATATGCAAATAGCGTGTGGGCAATGAACACCTACTTAAATCTTTTCATATCTATTCTATTGTTTTCCAATAAGTGAGCTTCATGGTATGTAGGCCTACAGCAGTAAATTATAGGCTTTACCAATGATGTTACAAATAATGATATATGTAATTAAACATTAAAATAATAGCATTTGCAGCGAATTAATAGACGGAGAAATATAGTTTTTCAGTGCAATCAGTTGTACTGCGAAGCAGACCACTACGCAATCGGGAAGGCTCCCAGATTCGACCGACCAATCATCATCACCGAAAGCTGTCTACAATAGCGTGTAGCGATTGTATGCCAAGCTTTACAGTCTTATATTTAAATAAGTTGGAAAAAATAATAATGTTAATGTAATGATTTAATATATGATATTTATAAGTTATAACAATATTATAAAGTTAAAAATAATCGTAATTTAAATTAATCATTGTAATAATTCCAATCATTACTAAAATTCTAAAGATATTGCAAACATTTGAATACTCATTGAACTTTGAAATTGAAAATTGAATATCGATATCAAGAGCGATCATTAATGCAATCTCCGTGGTGACAGACCGATTAACGTCACACTATAAATAGTCTACATACATTTGTTTTCGGTTTATAAAAAGAAAACATCATTATTTTCAGTAAAGTGTAGCTTACTAGATACATTACTCAAATTCCAAATCTAAAATTGTATGTTCTATTTTTTCTCAATGTAGCCTCAATGTATTATTATATTGTTTTTTTCATATTAACAATGTAATTTGCCGCGTGATGTTGTGTAGCCAAAATTGCTTTTAGATGCAACAGAAATAAAAATGCTATTCTATTAAAAAGTTCATCCCCAATAAGAAGCGATTAATACCGTATACAATTATTTGATAAGTATGTAAGCTATGCACCTGGGCAAATTAATACAGGTAAATATTAAAAACAAACCGTCAATTAATAACAATTGCCGAATGAGGTCACTTTATGAACTTGTTTACGTGTAGTCGTATGCAAATTGATTCTAGGTATACTGCGGACGATATAATCTTGTAATGTCTTAATTTTAAGAGTTAAATCTTTAAGGAAAAAAAAGCTGCAAGACTTTAATATTCTTGTCAGTAAATTTTGAAGTAATCCAAAGGTGTGTTTGCAATCGCGGTTTGTCGGATAAGCGCAACTTGTTGGTTAACTTTGCTTAAAATCATTTTCATTGGCGATATAATGCATCATTTATTTTATACCGTAGGAATCATTGATAATAGGCATCCGTAGGGCACAACATGCATGAATATCCTGAATAATAAATCAAATAGTACATCATTTTTTTTAAATCATTTTCACGAGAGTACAAACCATATGTTACGGGGAGGAGTCAACAGTGTATGTAGTCTACCGGTATCCTTATGAGAAATGCAAAAATGATTATCTCAATTGGCAATGTTCTATTATGTACCCTTTCGGAGACAAGGAGCATTCAGAAAAAAAGAGTATGTTTTTACTCTCTTGAGAATGGATGACCCCCCCTGACTACTCTAGTTACCAAAACTAAATCTAGTTTTGATTGGCCTAAGAATGAGTTACAGTTGTATTATTACTGATTTATAACAATATTTGCAATGTAAAAACAATTCATTATGATATGAGATAACAGAAATGTTATTAAAACAACAAAAGTTGTACATGTTCCCGATATTGATTCATAATTCGAGTACAAAGTTAATAACCAAATATATTCTTTTTTTAATTTGAGCTTTCGATTGGATGTACAAGATAGAAAGCATAGAGTAACAACTTAAAATCAAGGTGCAGGCTGTGAAGTATATACACTAAACAAGAAATCCCCATGGTTAATGGTAAAAAATAAAAGACAGTATAATACGAAGTACAGAAACACACGCACTAGGCCTATATACCAATGTCCATTCCAGATATTGAGATAAAAAATCTGGTTTATGATTAAGTTTAGGCCTATGGCTTAAAATGTGTCAAAATATAAATTTTAATTATTTTTACAGTATT